CAGACATATTTACAGGGTCTAACTGATGAATAAACAACCCATAGCAAGCGACTGACCTAGGAGGGGAAAGTACAGCACCAAGTTGTGGGAAATACGCCCTCAACCACAATTGGGCCGACCAAAGAGGTCCACTGCCTGTAGGGGAGGCATTATTCTTTAATTGAAATTGAAGGGAAGCCATTCCTCTATAAAGAGCAACCAAAAGGAATGAACATAAATTCAAGGGTCGACCACGTGCTAATTCGTGTGATATGTGCAAATAACTCGTAGAGGGCTTCAGACAAAATTATAACTAAAATATGCAACTTATGCAATTAAGAGTAAATTAACTAAAATAAATGCAAATTATTCTAAGTGCAACTTAACATGTTTAATAAATGACAAGCGCACTAGGATCCTGAATTCCTGTGCATTAATCATTTTTAACTTAGTTTTACACGTTGACAACACGATTGAATTTTTGATGAATCAATGTTCCTATTTCATTTAGCAATCTCTCAAAAAGTAAGATTAAATCAATTTTTATATATGACCCAATTATATTTCTATGACGGATGCGACCATATAAAATTGCATGAATTTTTATGAACATTTACAGATTCATATAGAGTATATCGATATACTTCTATCCCCTATCCGACCCTATGACAATTTATAGATGTAAAATCTATTTTTCTTTTTTCAAATGTATAAAATAAGCCACCACATTCACACAACTACCGTGTACAATAATTGTGGAGAAAATAAAACTATATAAATCATTCAATATTTAAAAGCGTGTTTTTAATGTAAGTATGTAAAACTAAAGATTAGAAATTCATATTGCATGGTTGATTGTTCTCCTAATACAAAGAAAACTAGAATAACATGTTATGAGAAATAAAACAAAAGAAAAATTGAAAAATCAACATCATCCAAATAAAGTTTTAATTTAGTCTTCGAGTCTTGGAATCGATCTTCGTGTTTTTTGCCTCCTTCTATGCTCCCAAAATCTCTCAAAATGTGTTGTAATGTTTGATCACTACTTCTAAACGGTCCTAGGTTTTTAAAAGACGTCCCAAGATTTGTTTCCATAAGAGTTGAAATTATATTAAAAAATCAGATTTTTTTCCAACTTAGCTAGGGCGGACGCCTAGTAGGATATGGGGCAACTACCCAGGCATAGCTAATGGCCCATGTATTTCAAGTTTAAGGTCGGGTAGCCGCACAACCAATATAATTGAGCGGTTGTCCAGTTATAAAAATTTCACTAATTTTCCTTTTTGGCATTTTCTTTATTCTTTCTTCCATCTTGGTCATCCACATCAAATTACTTCAATTTTAGTGCTTAAACTTTTATTCAAATGCATATTAGTCTATAAGCTTCAATCCATTGACCATCGATCATTCTTTCTTTTTTAATTGCTTAGAAACGAGTCCAAAACTGAAATAAAATAAAATAAACTTAAGTTAAGTTAAGTAAAATATAATACTAAAAAGACACAAAAGATTAGTAATATGACCTTAATAAGTGCACAAATATGAACTCATCAAATACTATCAAACTAAAACTATTGTTCGTCTTCGAACAATCATATAATCACCTATTGCATGTCATATTAGAAAGAAATCAAAAATAAACAAATAATAAAAAGACAGGTGAATGGATGGGAGATGATGCTTTCTAGACAAGAATTTAGCATAAAATGCATAGAGTATTTCTTAAAAAAAAATATTCTTGGGTCTGCCATTTGTTAGGGTGGATGGAAGATCCGTAATTTATTCTTTAATTTAGAAAATGCAATCGGACACCAACTCGTTCAACTATATATTAACAAAACTAACTATATATTCAGCCACATGTGCGAGTGTGAAAGGCTGCCTAACCGTCTTGATTATTTTTCTATGAATATCGATTATATTAAACATTCCATTTCACAAGCCATTTAAGAATAAAATTCCTCTTGAATAAGTATGCCCCGTTGGAAACAAAACAATCCCCACTCGCTTCTTTCTATACGAACCAAACTCAGACCACTGAATGAGAAAACTAGGATTTGTTTGTTTTCGCTTCAAAAATTATTTATTTTTTCAATAATTCCACATGGCATGTCTTCTATGGCCAAATGTCTTTCACATGTTATGTAAAATCCCTTCAGCTAAACAATTGACTATGCAAATCCAAAAACATATATAAAAGAACAAAAAATAAGGTGCACAAGCACCATCTGTTAAAATCTGGAAGCCAGTACAAAGCTAATTCATATCTTCACCTACATAACTGTTGATCAAATAGACTTTATACATCGCACAAAAGAGATTTGTAGCACTAAACAACAGCCACAGATAGCTGTCAAAAACTTTTAACATCATACCCTAAACTACAGCTATTTGGAAGTCCAGTTATTTAGATTGTGCGTCACTGGAACAACAACCAAAGATAGTTCACTGTCAAAATGGGTAAGTAGCAGCTTCTGTCAACTTCACCCCCTAGAGCTACCATAACAATCCTGATCTGAAATATTATGAACAAAACACATTCTCCAAACATAAGTAATAGGATGCAATAACTTGATTTGATCTCTTTAACAGAAAATAACTCTGTAACTTTGTTAATTAATTATCTCTCGTTCAAATGATTAACCACAAACAACTTCCAACTTTAACATGCCATAAGAATTCAAAATATCAATTTACACTCCAAATTTAACAACTTACAACGGAAATTTTCTGTCATGAAGAAAATTGGAACCGGATTAATTCAATACCAATTTGTTGGAGAAAATACGAGATTATATGCACAATATAAAATAAAGATCACAAAAACCACAAGAACAATGTAATTTGTAGATAATGAGGATTTTATTATAATATGGATCATTTTCATCCAATCATTTCCATCTACTTACACATATGTCAAGAAGAATGTAAAAAATGCTCTGACAAAGTAGAATAATTCTGTCTGTAATGCCCCCAAAGTATGCTGGATAATAGACAAGATTCGAGGTCATTAAAATAGATTGACGTGCACACAATTTGTCAATTGATCAATGTCCAGAGAACTATACCAAACTTACCACGAGAATTCTAAACAACTTGAACACAAATTAGGCACCTGGGCTTTAGCCATCTTGCCAGACAAAACTCAACAACTCTAGAAAATGCTAACTTTCAACACAATGTTCCCAAAGCAATAAATCTACGAATTTCATATAGGAATGCAAAATGCAGAATCTATTCATATATAGGATGCAAATTGTAAACCAAAGCTCCAAACAATCCATACTAATGTCTATCACAATGTATGGAATTTAGGTTTTAGAGAGAGGGGGGCTGACTGAGGCTGCGAATTGTGGCTTTAACATTGTAACCACAGTCAAGTAAAAGCTTCACCAACCATGAAGCAGTGTATCCAGAAGCTCCTGTTACGCACACTGCCTTTCCCGCTCCAGTACTCATCCTCTATGGCTTTCTCTGTGTCTTTGTGCTCCGATTACAAGATTGAGAATAAAACAACCACTACAATCAACCAATCACCACCACTGCAATCAACCAGTCACCACCGCCACTGCCTACCATCTCCATTGTTTATTCCCCTTTAACCACCACCAATTATTCTTTCACTACTTCTCCTTC